TCATGGTTCAAACTGTCTGCTTTCTGGCATCCTCACAATTAAGATCATTTTGTAGGTGGAGGATGCCATCTCTATTTTCCACCTTTAGAATTCTTTGGCCAACCCTTCCTCATTTTGTCTTTATAGGACTTATTTTATTTTTTATATGTGCATGGTTCTGTATAAACTGTGTACAGGAGACTTGTGATGCCAGGGGACTTTATGGAATCCCCTGGAGCTGGACTTATTGAAGGTTGGTTGTGAAGCCACCTAACATTGGTGCTGAGAACTGAAGCCAGGTCCTCTGGAAGAGCAACAAGTAAACTTAAACATTTAGCCATCTCCCTAGCCCTACTTTCTTATTTTGTTGCCTCGTTCATGAAAAAAATCATATTGTACATCATGAAATTTAGTAGATATGAGGGAGTTGGGTCAATCCCTGAACCATGTGAGACATGGGGATTAATTCATTATGTCAGCCTTACCATCAAGTGCCTTTATCTAATGAACAATCCCTTTGGCCCTCCTTGGTTAGGTTTTTCATTTGGAGAATTACCCCATCATAGTTGGAAACGTCGGTCTTCAGAGTATAATGCCCAATGGTTATTAACCTTGAATAGAGAACAATCTGGCATTTCCCTTTCACCTTAATATTTCATGCTTATCAAGAGCTTCTTAGGAAATTGCAGCTATTCTCGGAGTTCTCCTCTTATCCACCATCAATGCATGGTCACCTTACCTTTATGTTAGGACACAGGTCTGAATCTTTAGGCCAGATAACCACATGCTTAATCAGGCCACAACTCCTGCATATCACTCTAGGACAGAGTGTAGAAGCTGTCTGTGCTATGACTGGACTACTTATAGTTTACAACAACTGGATCCTCCATGCTCCTTGTCACTTACAGTACAATGAACTACCTCACATGGTGAGAAATGTTCCACCACTGCTAAAAGACTATGAAATATCTGACCTTTCCTTTCTTCTGTGTGTCAGGAGAAGACTTCTGAATGACGTTGCCCAGAAATGCAGGGTGTTCTTAGAAGAGGCTCTTCAACATCCCTCCATGATCACTCTCTTAGCAGCTATTAGTCATTCTCTCATTCTCCCTAGCTCTCTTGTGTTCACTTTACAGTGACAAACTTCCTCCAACTAGGCCACACCTACCCAAACAATGCCACACCTCCTAGTAGTGAAACTCCCTAATGGCCAAGCATTCAAACATGTGAGTTTATGTGGGACATTCCTATACATACTACCAAGCATCCATTGTTTGCTGCATTTGATTAGTTTTGGATTTCTTTGGTAGCCTCTATATATGTAAAGACAGCATCTTTAATGTATAACTAAAGCTACAGTTGTCTGTGGAAACAAACATGTGTTTTTAGAATAAAACTAGATAATTGAATTGGTTTAGGAACTCAGCCATTATAGGTTCTCCTCTAGAATCCAAAAATCACTATCCATGTACAGTTTGCAATTCAGAACCATTAATGACTGCCCTCCTTCTGAGCAACCGGAAGTCCAATAACAGTTTTTGGTTATCTCCAAGGGATAATTGTCACTCTTGCACATACAGCGATATCTTGCCATGCTGGTCATTGCTATGGTTTGTAGGAACCACAACAGGGTAGGACAATTGAATGTTTTCCCCTGTTGCCAGCTTGCATAGAATCTTCAGGTGCTATGAGGTCTAGTCCTGAGAAAAGAGCTTTTTACATCATAACAGCACACACACGGAGTGCAAGAGTCAGCATCATGCCCACTGCATGTATTTCTTTTTTTTTGGCATTTTTATTTTTTAGTATTTATTTTTAAGTTTAAATTTAGATTAGAAACAATGTTGCTTCACAAGTCAGTTCCAGGTCCCTCTCTGTTTCCCTCCCCTCCTCCCATGCCCTCCCCCCCAGTTACCCCCCAATATCCCCTAATTTCCCCAGGGAGGGTGAGGCCCTCATGGGGGTGTCCACAGTCTGTCATTTCATCCAGGGCAGGGCCCAGACCCTCCCCCAAGAGTTCAGGGTGAGAGTGCATCTCACATTGTTGGATGGGAGTCCAAAGTCCACGTGTATACTCGAGATGAATACTGATCTACTGCCCAAGGCTCAATAGATTACCTAGGCCTCCTAGGCCTCCTTACTGACACCCCCATTCAGCAGGTCTTTATCAGTCCCACCACTGCATGTATTTCATAGTTAATACCTTACTATTTTCATGGGACTGCTGACTCTGAGAACATGTTAATCTCTGACTATTGTATCTGCTGTTGGGACACTTTTGGTCCTGTTTGATTGCTGGAATCAAAATCAATATGATAGTTATTGGTTCATATTATTATATTTTATTTTGTCATGTTTTATTATCTCTTAGTCTTATTCTTCTCTAAAGTGAAAGAATGGAATGTCATTGTAGGGGATGTGGAAAGGAACAGGGAAGTGTTAAGAAAGGAGAAAATATAAACAGTATATATTGTATGAGAAAAGAATCTATTTTCAATGAAAGAAAAAGGCTCATTTTTCAAAGTGATTGATGACCTTGACCACCTTTAATTAGATTAACTCTGTTTTTAAAAGCATATATTATTAACACTAGAAATAAAACTTGAGATCTTGTTGACAATTTTTTAGATTAGTAAAATTCTCAAGGTTACTCAATAGTGATGGGAGTAATTGTACAGTAATCTACAACGACTACCTAGAAGCCCATAACCTACATAGATGGAAGCAGGAAGAAACACAAAACTGATTTCATAAATAACTCACAAGACTGAAACAATAAAGAAATTTGGCAAAAGTTAACCAAGTTTATTAATGAAAACAGATAAGTTAGGGGTAGAAATGGGTGAGTGCATTAGGGGCACATATGAAAAATCACTTCCAAATTGTTGCTCAGTGGGGACAGTGACAGATTTTCCTCTAAGACCAGGGTCAACACAAGGATGCTGTGTTGGCTGTTTTTCTTCAGTATTCTCTTACATGTCCCAGACAGAAAAATTAGGCAACCCTACAAATAAAAGTTGCCCAATTAATTGACTGTAAAATAGATCTTCACATGACATGAACTTTTTTTGAAAATTGTAAGGATTCTACAGAAGTTTCTGGAAGAGGTGACTGAACATACTACCTACCTGAGCTCTACTACTGTAAACATCTATTGTACACAAACCACTAGATGTCCTCTTTTGTCACATGGATAGAGAAGCTAAGTAACAAGGAAGACTCAAATGGGGCACATGTATCACCCTGGGAAGAATAAATAGACAATGCTTTGTGGATGGATGGAGGTATAAGGGCGTGGTAACAGGAGAAAACACATGGGGGAAGGTGGGATGGAAGAAGAGAGTACTTGGAGTATTGACTGGAATAGTGGGGTATTTGGAGATCAATGTGGAAACCTACTACAGTGGAAAATCCCTGAAGTCTAAGAGTGACCCTAGTTAAGATTCCTAGTAGTGAGGCATAAGTGGCCTAAACCAGCCATTTTGTACAACCACAGAAGACTTCTAGCAGTGGTAGTGGGACACCAATCCAGGCAAAAAACATTGGACCTACAATCTGTCCTTCCTTAAATATGTACTGGGGTAATGGCAGAAAAAAATTTGTGGTATTAGTCAATCAATGACTGGTCTAAATTGAAACTCATGCCGTGATAGGGAGCCCAGAACAGATCCTTCCTGGATGACCAGGAACCAGAAGCTGGACAGTACAGAATTGAATATAGAGCCAAACATGACTAGAAAAAATATTTGCCTGGAATGAAATGATTAATAATGATATTCTGTTATACTAGTAGATCAGTGTACAGTCTAATAATCATCAGAGGCAACATATAGGAACAATTGCAGAGACATGCAGCCATACACTTGACAGCACCAGGGGAAACCCAAGGAATAAGGGAAGGATGGATTGTAGGAACCAGAGCAGTCAAGGTCACCATGCAAATATGGAACAAAGAAACAATTAAGCATGGCTTGTAGAGGATCACAGAGATTGAAGTGATAATCAGAGACCTGATATAGGTTTGAGCTAGGGCTTCAAAAACTAAGCTCTGGTAATGTATATGGGTATTTTGTGGAAATCCTAACAGTTGAAGTCAGGGACATATCTGAGTCTTTTGCCTGCCCTTTGTACCCTTTTATTCCTATTTGGTTAACTCTTCTAGCTCCAATATGAGGGATTATGCAAGTCTCATGTTACGCCATGTTCTGTAGATATCCTTGCGAGACTTGGTCATTTTTTGAAGGGAAACAGAAGAGGAGGATGTCTGAAGTAGAGGGGAAGTAAGTTTAGGGAGGGGAGGAGGGATGAGAAACTGTGCTTGACATGCAATATATGAGAGGATAATTAAAAAGGAAAGTAATACATATTAACAGGAAAAAACACTCATGTGCAAGACGCCAATGTGTATGCCCCTTTCAGGATGAAAAGAGTATGATCTGCCCTTATATGAAAGATGTTACACCTGTGCATCAAGCAAACTGTGGATAAAAGCTATTTATAAACTAGCTTCGTCCACAGTGAAGCATGGACAGACCTTTCTCCTGTCACTCCTCATCACCTTACAGGAAAGAATCATGTTCAGGCAGCACTGGAATTAGGTAAGTTAGTTAAACAAGGAATGTATTTGGTCAAATGAGAGGATGTTTTTTCTTAATGAAAACAATGCACCATTTTATCAGCAGACTCAGAGCATCCAAAAGTTTGATGGAACCTGAGACTAGTACCCATGAATTCTGAGGGATAAGTATATATTTGAATCACAACCTAAGATCGTAAAGCCTTTGAATTTTTTGTTTACAATATTGATGTCTTTATTTTCCTTTTATGACAACCTCACTCTTTATCCTGGTCTTCCCTTGTTCATACCATGATTCCCAACATCATATGCATGAGTCACCATACCGACTGCACCTGAGTAGTAATTAATCCTTTGTACTACATAACTTTAGTCCATTTTGCATCTCATTGATACAGAAATGCCCCCACTGTGCTGTATGATGGAAGGAGAGGTCACTCACTCTTCATGGCCAGGAAACTGGGAGACTGGTCTTCAAACTGAATCGGTTAGAGACCTCACACTGATACTCTCCTGCATCCTCACTCTGGACAGGATCTATTTTGAGCCCACACTTTGTCGGGGACAGAGTCATCCTCTCCGTGATCTGCAGATTCTTCTTACCAAAGATCCAGCGAATGGAGGTATCAGTGTCAGGTGAAATGCAGGTGAAGATCACAGATGTACCTCCTGTGACTGTGGTATCAGTGATTTGCACAAAGGGCTGTGTCACATCCTCTATGAGGAAACAGAGGAGGGTACCAAATTACAGTAGTTCAGAGAATTCAAACAGGACATGTTAAGGATCATTGTTGTGTTTGTGAGTTAAGCTTAGTTATGAGCAATGGTCTGTACTTGAGATGGGGAGCTGCTCTTATCAGCAGCATCTGTTACTATTTACCTACAGAAGAAAATCCCCTGAGATGAAGGAGGAATCTTGAGTAGCTGCCTACTCTCTTTATTCCCTTAGTACCTTGACCTTCTGCCTATGAAGTTTCATAAAACAATCAGAACAATAGTCTAATGGCCCAGACACCTGTCCAATGAGCCTCAGGCAAAGGATATGCACAGATGACCTACGTACCTGCAGCTGTCATGGCATTACACAGCTGATTCCACACTCTGTGGGATAGTCAGGCCCATGACTTAGACAGTGAGTAAAACCATATTCCCTGTTGGCTCTGACATGAACTCTAAATAAGCAGGGACAAAATACTCCCTAATGTCACCATGAGTCCAGCCTGGGTCAAAGTTTTGGAGTCAGGGTTTCCTGGTCATGTCTGTGATGACCCAAATGTTTAAAGAGCCAGAGAATCCCTGACACCCACATAGTCTTTCTGGGGCCATGTTCATTGATAGAACTCTAAGTATCTGGGCTGAAAACTGACATCCTGGGGCTGAGTTTATCCAACACGGGTTCTCCTACCTGCAGGTAAAGACAGATGAGAGGATTTGATCTACTACTGATTATCTACCCAATGTGTGTCCTGCAGTAGTGACCCGGACTCCAATGTGGGGGCACAGTGTAATGGGAGAGAGAGCAGGTACAACCCAGTCATCACAGTTTAGTGTATGAAGTGGGATAAGCCACACCCCACAGGTGGAGACCATAGAGAGATACTTACTCTTTATATAAAATTCCACGTATGCTTTTTCAACATTGAAATCTTTGTTTATAAATGACAATGTGTAGATTCCTGAATCTTTCTCTGTGACATCATGGAGCATCAGAGATCCATTACTGTACACCATCCCTCTTTTTCTGTGTGCAGGTCCCCATGAGATGGAATTCATGTCTCTTCTGTATTCTACAATTTCATTTACCGGGGTCCCATGCTTTGATTTGTACCAGGAAAAGGATTGCAGGTCTTCTGGAAGATTTTGAACTTGGAGAAGTATGCTTTCCCCTTCAGCAGGATACTGAGGCACAGGTTGAATTATGAGTTGGGAAGAAGTGAGAAGGTTACAGAACAGAGAAAGGGAAGCTGGGAGAAAAAAAAAGAGAAAAAAGCCATCACATGAGTATAATTGTTCTTGGTGAAAAGATGGTAACCTCCATCCTGAGCAGATGGATTTGTCATTCAATCTAGAGCTTAAGGTGTGTGTGTGTGTGTGTGTGTGTGTGTGTGTGTGTGTGTGTCCCACAGCCCCTGAAAGTGTCATGTCATCTTCATGGAACTCTACCCTTGTGTATTATTAATATGGCTACTACATCTCTACACTCTGTCAGATACTACACATCCTCATGTACATGGAGGGTTGAGATTATACCTTTTCTGTACTCAACAGACCTGAAACATTCATTTTCTCAGTTTTCCTTAAGTTTCTTTTGAGATAACACTCAATATCTGATGTCACCTAACACATGCACTGCTTCTCACTCAAGTTGCCCATTGTATTAGGACTCTGTGGTAGCTGGGAGCAATCATATTATCAAGGCATATTTCAGTCTTTAAAAGGCTTGGATACTAGACTGGCAGGTTTTATATCACATTGACACAAGCTACAGTCGGTTTTTAACAGAAGGCCTCAGTTGAAAACTCCCCCACCAGATTGTTCATTAAAAAAATGGAATTGATGTAAACAGATTCATAACAATACAGGCAGTTCAAACTCTGAGCTAGGAGTCCTGGGTGATATAAGAGAGCTGGTTGAGCAAGCAAGAAGAGAAAACCAATAGGAGGCACTCCTCCATACTCTCTGTACCAGTTCCTGGATTTTATTTATGAAACTCTTAGTTTGGAGATAATAAATATCACAGTTTGGCATGGAGATTCTAAAACCATTGTTACCTATTACCTTGAGAGGATGAAACAGTAGAGCACTAGAAAAAGGATCCCCTTGGACACTTTAGTCAAGTCTTGGAAGATGACAAGATTCATGGTTCCCTATTATAGAGCCCAAAGAGACTGGGCTGACTCTGACATATTAAGCTGAGCTACTTTCCATCAAGGTCTTCCCTGATACAGATGGAGTCAGAGATATAAGCTGATCTGTGGACGTTTGTGTCTACCATGGTGCTGAGCACTAAGTGCTCAAACCTCCAGCTGCAGATGCAGTGTAGAGGGAAGTTAAGGTAGGCCAGCCATGACAGCCTTGTGTGTCTCATCCCCACTCAGCACTGAACAACCACAGAGAATCACTTACTCTCCACCTGGAGCTGCACTTGTGTATCTTCTCTTCTCATATCTGTCCTCAGAATCCGTAAGGTGTACAATCCGGGGTCTTTTTGAATGACACCGTGAATCAGCAGAGATCCATCACTGTGTAACATCTCTCTGCCACTGTATGCAGGCCCCCACACCGCTGATTTTCCATGGGATATAATTTGGGCAGCCACAATGTTCTTGAACTCAGTCTTTCCTTTGAACCAGACAAAGCCTAAAATATTCTCAGGGGGATTGTGAATGACTAGAAGAACACTTCCTCCTTCAGTAACACTGGGTGGCACTGATTCAATAGTGAACTTGACCGATGTACCAAGGTTCCCACACTTCCAAAGGAAAGCTGAAGGGGAATAGAGAGATCCATCTAAATTAGGACTTTTGCATCTAGCAGGAGACCCTGTGTCCTGAGCATCTGTACCCATTGTTAAGCCTAGGTGTGTGGGTGTCTTCCTGTCCTACTTGGGTAGAAGTCTTCACATGACCTTAGGCTCTCAGTATCTCCACCCTTGTCATTTCCACTATATGGCTTTCTCTCCTCAGTTGTCAACATTTCCCTGGCTTACTGAATCAGATCCCTGCTCACATGTAGAGTGGATTGGTGTTGGAGTGATGCCTGACCAACCTCATCCATTACAGACACCGTGTCTTCAATCTCTGACTTTGTTGATATTATGTTCCTCTTTGGGTTGAAGCCACCACCTGAATTTACCTTCTACCTTTCTTTATTTTTAGTTCACTCAAACTGGGACATCATAAGAACCCTGGATTGTCTTGTATTTTAAAAAATCTTAGAAAAAAATCTCAGATACATGTGGAGACTGATTGAATGGGTGATGTCCCAGAACAATGTATGCCCATGGATTTATTTAAAAACTCATAGGTTTAGGGTACATTACTGGATCATTCCATTTGCTTTGATTTTTATACTTGTTTACATATTATACATGTGTGTGAGTAGTTTAGAGGCTAATATAATATGTGGGTGTGGGTCCAGCACAAAATACTTTGGTGGAGGCCAGAGGACTTCCGTTCATTGGTCTCACCTTCTCAGACAATGAAGCGAATACCTATATCCATTGGACTATATCAGTGATCCAAACAATCTTGATTTTTTTAAAATTTGGGCTCTCAAGCTGAGAGCTTCAGTCTTCAGATTACTGTGGCCATGCCTACTAAATTTGTGTAAGAATAATTTCTCTCCCACCCTACTGTTTAACATTCAATGAGTGCATTCTAATGCTGAGCTTCTTTCTCTCACTCTGTACCTTCTCCCCTACAAACACTGAAACTCCATTCACGTCGTTGTGTCATTCAGGAGACTCCAGACAGTATGTCAGTCCTCTCCTCTCACACACTATAAACTCCTGGTCTGCTCGTCTGTGAGAAGAAGCCCCTGAAATGTGGAATACACATTTCAGGAGTACAGATTGGGCCTCCATGTCTCAGCAAACTGATCCAGTATCCCTCTGAGATAATTCTGCTCCAGCACAGCTACAAAGGTCTGTTGTCCTTTCCCATCGGATACTTGCCTTTCACAGCACATCCAAGAGTCTCATCAGCTGAGGGAGGGTCTGTGTTCAAAGCACTACTCTGCCCCTCCAGTATCAGTGCTGGCCCATGTTCCTTTCCCATTTTCTCTTGATCTTTCTGCCCTCTACAATACAGAGTAATAGTCAAAAGTGATGACCATCCCTGTAACATGAGATAATAGCAGTGGACCCTGGAACTGCACTCTGATGTGTCCTGGCCTAGGTTTGTCAGCATCCAAAATGGGAAATCTGTACTACTGTGTGAGAAAGAAGCCCATCTGTGTACCCAGTCTTCTCTGTGTTTTCAACAGTCTGGAAACATGGAATTTGCTCCCAGCAGGAAGGTGACAAAACTGCCTTTGAGGCTCCAACAGGGCAAAATGAGTGATGTTTGTGGAGAAGAACAAATCTGTTTTCACTGGAGTCACCAGCAGACTGGGTTCTAACCAAAGTCAAAGGCCCATGATGTGTCAGGAATCTCACATCTTGGGTATATTGGAGAGGTGACCTGATTCCTTCAAGATTTTTCAAGACCAGGCTCCCACTTCCTCTGTTTGTTGAGCTGTGTAGTGGGTCTGTCCATGTACTCCATGATATTTCTAAGATGCCTTGTACCTTTATATTGTTGATTCTCCTTAGATATCATGCATTTCCCAAAGGAAACTCACAAAGTGGAAACAGAACATGATCTCCTGGAACTGTAGGAGACATATTCGAAAACAAGTAGGTCTGAGAATGCTGTTGACCAGGATTTCCAAGTTTGTAAAAACAGGGGTAGAACCAGGTGACTATTAAGTTCCTGGTTCCAGAAAATACTTCTCTGCCAGTTCATTGTGTGTCCTGATGATGCCTCTGTTGATAAATGGGAGAACTAAAGATCATGTCTGGGAAGATGTCAAATCAACTGAGCCTATAGTTCCCCAAGTGAATTCCCAAAGTTGGAACCAAAAGACAAGCAATTGCCAGAAGCTGTGTCCTTAATCCCTCTCCTTGGTGACCATGACCTTCATGTGAAATCTCATCTGCTCAACAAGACAGGCAGTTAATGACCTGGCCACCTGTTTACCTTGCTCCAGTGCTGACTCTTTGAAGAATATGACCAAATTCTGTAGCCTAAGCAAGTCTCCCGTGACAGTACCCTGTCAGGTTCCATACAAGACTTGGACTACTAGGGAGCACTGTTCCCTGATATCAGGAAGTCATACTACAACACTTATAAAATTCCTCCCATGGACACCTGGGTTCAATTGTGGGACAGAGATCTGGAGGGAAGACATCCTGGTACTCACAGCTCTGGGAGGATCACATGTTTTCCTCAGCTATGTACAATGTTAATTCCCCCAGAGCCTTTGTCAAGGAAACTTTCCTGGTAAGAATCATAAGAGTATAGACAGAGGCTGATATCCTTGGCTGAGTTACCCACCATGAATCCTACTATGTGCAAGGTGAAGTCTAATGAAGGATTCTGATCTACTGCCATTATTCTACACCATAGATGTCCTCAAACTCCAACATGGAAGCACAATGCATAGGGAAGGTAGGCACAGACCTCTCTTCTGTATATGTCCAATGAAATGAACTTCAGGCAGCTCACAGATTTAACAACTCACTTACCCTGCACATGGAGATACATGGATGTTGTTGATATGATTTTTCCATTTCTATTATAGGTCCGTAAGGTATAGAATCCCGCATCATTTTGGTTGACAGTTTTGAGCAACAAAGATCCATTGCGACATATTGTCTCTCGACCACTGTGCACAGTCCCTGGCTGACTTAAATTCTTGTCCAGTGCATATATTGCAATTTCTTGTTTCATATTTCTTACCCCTTTGAACCAGGCTAAGCTTGTAATATTCTCAGGCAGATCATGGACAAGGAAAAGGACGTTATCTCCTTCAGCAACTAGGCGTGGTACTAATTCAGTGGTCACATGAGCAGTGGTGGACAGGTGACAGGAGGTTAAAAGGCAGGCTAGAAGGGAATTGAGAAAACCATTAATATTAATATTAATATTAAAATGGTATAATCATCACTCAGCTTTGGTATTTGAGTAGGGATGTTCCCATTCTCTTTGCAAACATGAACAACATGACTTCCATTGACATAGTGTTTGAGTGTATCATTAACTCTCTCAGGAATTCCTGCTCAGGTATCAGCCTGGTTCCCCACTCAGTGTCTCATATCCCTTCACACATGGAGTGTTTGGTGTGAGGAGCAATGTCTCTGTGAACTCCTCCTCTGGAGAGTCCCCACTTTCAATGTTTTTCTCTCTTCTCTTTGTGATTCTAGTCAATCCACTGCTCCCTCTTTCAGATATACTGATATCAAGTCCACTAGAACTAGTGCTTTTTGTTTGGTAGGTTGGCTTTTTTTGTTTGTTTTGGTATTGGTTTGAGTTTTGATTTTTGGAGACAGAATTTCCCTGTGTAGCCTTGGTTGTCCTGGAACTTGTTGTGCAGACCAGGTTGTCCTTGAACACATGGAGATGCTGAGCTTAAAGGCCTCAGTCACCACTGCCTGGAAGAACTGGGAATTTGTAGGGGCATCATTAGTATGATCTCTCATGGTTGGAAACAGCTGTCTTCTGAACATGTTACCCAGTGTAACTCACTGTGAATATGGAGTGTTTGATGATTTTCTCTTACCATCATCACCTCCTGTGCTCTGGAAATTTCAGGGTGCTTATTCTCTGATTCTGACTGTACCATCTGTACTATAACTGCAAACAGAAACCTTGTGTCTCCTTTCAAGATCCTGTCTACTTTTGGAGACTTCCGCCTACCTCTGAGTCCTCTCAGAGGCTCCAATTCCCCTCCCCACAGAGTCACAGAGTGGTTACCCTTACCTGTGAGCAGAAACCCCTGCCAGGAGGTATACCCTTTGCAGAGAAGCACAAAGGACTCCTCCATCAATATTCTCACTTGCAGTCCTCCCTGTGAGGAGAAAAGACTCAGGTCCAAAACAAAACTCAGGCTCTGCTCTCCTTTCTCCTTCTCAGACTGGAGCACTTCCCAGAATCCAGTGGTCTGTGAGTGATGGGGTTGGAAGCCAAGGCACTTCTCAATGCCTTCCACTCTCAAATCTGCCCCACACCCACCCCTCTCAACTTCCTTTTATGTTTCTTCTCCAAGCAACATATTGAGCAACAAGGCTGATAACCATCTCCATGCCCTGAGAGAACAATGGCTCATCCCAGAGCTGACGCCTGCTGTGGCCTTGTCTTGGGTCTTTCAATACCACAGATAGTTCTTGCATCATGCCTATGTATCCTTTTGACACAGATACCCAAGTGAGTACCCAGTCTACCCTGTGTTCTCAGTGCTATGGGAAGGTGGGATTTATTTAATCCCTGCAGGAAGGTGACAGAAATGTCTGTGAGGACTGGAAAAAAGACCAGCTAAATGATGACTAGGTTTGAAGAACAACTCTTTAACACTAATATCACCATTCAAATTAATGATGCAGAAGAGAGGCCAATGAATTGTTGTGTGAGGAGTTTCATGTGTTCAGTGTAGGCAAAGAGTTGACTTCTGTGTCCTTGATATGAATGTGGTCTCTAGCTTCCTGTAGAAGGTTTCAAGGCAACATAATAGCATTATGTTTTTCTGTGCACATATCCTCTCTGGTCATCCTGGGTTACCTTTGCCCTTTCCTAGATGATTGTCTGATTGGTAATATTTTTTATCCTTCTAGAGATGCCAGGAGGGAGGTATTCACAGTTCCCATGGACAAATGTGTTCTCAGACAAACGAAGGGGCCAGTAGCTCAGCTAAGGCTTTAGAGAGGGAGCTCAAGGTCAGTAGGGACAGACATGGAAAGCAGTCTGTTCAGGGAAACAACTTTCAGAACATTGAGCATGTGCCCTGCTATCACCCCTGGAGATCACTGGGAGAACTTCAATCTACCAGTGCTATGACCTTCTGGGTCTACAGCAAGCAAGACCAAGAAGCCAAATGTGAACTTCCCTGATAAGTTCAGCACAGGTGGAATGAAAGGCCTGTTAATCTGATCACTCTGCTCTTCAGGACTCTTAATTCCCTCAACCATAGGATGGGACTAGACAGAGTTCCAGATTTGTCCTGGGAAGCCCTGAACTAAAGTTGAAAATAGTGTGAATCCAGAGGAAGGGCATTCTCAGTAGGATCCTTGTGCTCAGGAAATTTCAAAGGATAGTCCTGGGACATTTCTCTTGAAATTGAAAGGATAGGACACAGCAGGGTATGGTAGTGAATGCACTCAGGAGGCATAGGTAGGAGGATCTTTTAGTTTCATGCTGCCTGGGCTATACAGCAAGTTCCAGGATAGCTGGGGTTACTCAGAGAAAGCTTGTCTGGTTAAGAAAAAAAGGAGAGGGTACTAATGTACTAATGTAGGGGACTGATCATAATCTTTCTGGCCAGTTACTGATGTTTAAATACTAACTTCTCTCTGCCCAGAGGGTGCAGAGGGAGTTTGTTCTTGAGTACAAATACATTGACTCAAATAGACATGTCTTTCCTATACACTGTTCTACACTTCTTTCTCTTTTCATAAAAAACACCCTGAATAGAGGAATTTAGGAGAGAGAATAGAGTCCCTTTTCCTTCTATGGCTGTGTTATATTATAGCACTGAAGAAAGTCAAAGCAGAAAACATACTGGCTAATTCACAGGCTCAATGTCTGGATCAATCTTAGCTAGTCACTTTTACAACCAACAACCATCTGTCTATGAATTATGCTGCCCACAGTGGTCTGAGCCCTCCTGTATCAAATAAGACAGTCACTCATAGAAAGTAAGCCTGATCTGACTTTGTTGATAGAGTCAGTGTTTTCCTATGTCATTGTTTGCTGGTTTATTCATTTATTTATTTATTTTTGCATGTTGACTCCGGTTTCCCCTCCTTCTTCTCCTCCCAGTATCTCTATCCACTTCCCACCCTTCCACTGATCCATAGTCTGTTTCTTTTTTTTCTCTTTTTTAATCACTTTTTATTTTAATATTAAATAGCTTGTTTTACATGTCAATCCCAGTTCCCTCTCCCTCCCCTCCTTCCACACCCCTCATACCCCTCAGCCTCCCACCCTATTGCCAATTCCTTCCACATAGGGGATATATAGAGTCTGTCATTTAACTCAGGGTAGGGTCCAGGCACTCCCCTAAGAGTCCAGGCTGAGAGAGCATCCCTCTTTGTGCTATGGGCACACGATGACTATTTGTATTCCAGGGATAGACACTGATCCACTGCTCAGGGCCGCATAGGTTGCTCAGGCCTTCTCGCTGACACTCACATTCGGGGGGGTCCTGATCAGTCCCATGCTGGCCTCCCTGCTGTCAGTCTGGGGTCCAAGAACTCTCCCCTGTTCAGATCAGCTGCCTGTGCTGGTTTTGCCAGCCCATTCTTTGCAAATTTGCTCATCACTCCTCTCTCTCTGTCACTGGGTTACTTGGGTTCAGTTCAATGCTTAATTGTGTGTGTTTGCCTCCGCTTCCATCAGTCACTGAATGAAGGCTCCCGGATGGTTGTAAACATCAAGTTCATGATCAATAATGGGCATTCGAGGTGGTCTCTCCACTATTGCTTAGATTGCCAATTGGTTTATCCCTCTAGATCACTAGAGGTCACTCTGGCGCCTGATCTGTCTTCTAACCTATGATTCCCTCTTCCCCCTATTCTACCCCCATCCACTCAAACTTCCTGTTCCCCCATGACCTACTATCCCTTCCTTTTCTCCCCCTCTCTTCTTCCCAGCTCCCACTCCCCCCAGCACTTGCGGTATTCCCCATCCATTCAAGGATCTTGTCTCAATTCTCTTCTCTTGAGTACTATGCATATATGCATATCTTTTAGGTTTTTTCCTGTTTCCCAGACTCTCCATCAGTGGAAGTGCACACTGGCACTATCCTGATCCATGTCTTAAATCCATATATGAGTGAGTACATACCATGTTTGTCTTTTTGTGACTGGGTTACCTCACTCAGGATGGTTTCTTCCAGTGCTATTTATTTACCTGCAAATTTCAAGATTCCATTGTTTTTTTTCTGCTGAGTAATACTCCATTGTGCAAATGTAACACATTTTCTCTCTCCACTCTTCAGTTGAGGGGCATCTAGGTTGCGTCCAGGTTCTGGCTATTACAAATAACGCTGCTATGAACACAGTGGAGCCCTTGTTGTATGAATTTGCATCATTTGCTTCTTGAGTTCTTTGTAAATTTGGAGACTAGCCCTCTGTCAGATGTGGGGTCAGTGAATATCTTTTCCCATTCTGTGGAGTTACCTTGCAGAGTTTTTTGGGTCACTTATGTAAACTATCATATCATCTGCAAATAGTGAAAGTTTGAATTCTTCTTTTCCTATTTGTATCCCATTTAACTCCTTTTGTTGTCTTATTGCTGTAGCTAGAACTTCAAGTACAATATTGAAGAGATATGGAGAGAGTGGACAGCCTTGTCTTGTTCCTGATTTTAGAGGAATTGCTTTGAGTTTCTCTCTATTTAGTTTGATGTTAGCTGTTGGTTTACTGTATATTGCTTTTATTATATTCAGGTATGTTCCTGTTATCCCTGATCTCTCTAGGACCTATATCATGAAGGGGTGCTGGAATTTCTCAAAGGATTTTTCAGAATCTAGTGAGATGATCATGTGGTTTTTCTTTCGCAGTTTATTTATATGGTGGATTACATTGATAGATTTTCTAATGTTGAACCATCCCTGCATTCCTGGGATGAAGCCTACTTGATCCTGGTGGATGATTTTTCTGATGTGTTCTTGAATCTGGTTTGCTAGTATTTTGTTGAGTATTTTTGCACCAATGTTCATGAGGGAAATTGGTCTA